ATCTCTCTCCTTTCCTCTCTGTACAAAATCAATAAAATATATTTTAAAAAATAAATAAAAATAAATAAATAAATAAATATTTTTTTTTAAATAATTTCTTATCATTGCTTTGAGCAATGGGCACATGATGCAGTGCGCAGATGATGGTTTGTTGAGTTGTACACTTGAAACCTGTATGGTTTTGTGAATCAATGTCACCCCAATAAATTCAATAAAAAAAGAAATTGCTTGTAATCAACTAATTAGAATAGGAGCAACACATATGTATATTCATATCTACACACATATATTATACAAATATACATAGATATTTATGCAGTATAGTTTTAAATGAGAATTTTTACTTAATCACAAATTGGAAACTTTTTTCTCATTTTTTTATTAAGGTATTATATGTGTACATACCTTACCAATTCCCACCCTACCCCCACTCTGATACATGCCCTCCCTCCCCAGAGTTTTGTGTCCATTGGTTATACTTATAAGCATGCATACAAGTCCTTTGGTTGATCTCTTATCTTCCCCATATCTCCCTACCCTCCCCGCTGTCATTGGACAGTCTTTCTTTTACTGTCTCTGTACCTATCCTTTTGTTCATCAGTTTATAATGTTCCTTATTATCCATAAATGAGTGAGATCATGTGGTGTTTTTCTTTCATTGACTGGCTTATTTCACTCAGTATAATGTTCTCCAATTCCATCCAGGTCGCTGCAAATGATAAAAATTCATTCTTTTTATGGCAGCATAGTATTCCATTATGTAGATGTACCATAGTTTTTTGATTCAATCATCTGCTGACGGGCACCTAGTCTGTTTCCAAATACTAGCTATTATAAATTGTGCTGCTATGAACATAGGGGTGCATATTTCCTTTCTGATTGATGTTTCTGGTTTCTTAGGATATATTCCTAGGAGTGGGATTACTGGGTCAAATGGGAGTTCCATTTTCAGTTTTTTGAGGAAACTCCATTCTGTTCTCCCCAAATTGGAAACTTAAAAAACATTTTCTTTTTCTTTAAAATCACAAGCTCAAAATGACATATGAATAGGCGGGAGACCATTAATAATGAGTTATTTTATTCTCTGACTCAGTATATTTTTTATATGTAAAAGGTACATATCGTCAGTGTTGAGACAGACACTAGAAAATTACTGCTTAGGCAAGTACCATTGATGTCAACACAGCAAGCAGTTTAGCGGAGTCAAAATTTTTCCTAAGGGGAGTTTCCTAACTAATGGGTCAGCTACTGCCGCTCATTATTAGAATAGCATGTAGTGATTTCTTAGCTCAGACTCTAGATGATATTGCTTCCTGGGGAGTAAGTTTTCATATTCCCTGGATCTCTACAAGCTATGAAAAATTACCTCACCTGGAAAACAATGACCTAAAGGAGTGAGGGGAACCATAAGTAATTATAAATACTTCATGATGATAACATGCACCAGAAGAAACTGTTCTCTCTCTCTGAAAGCTATGGCAAGGAGATTCTACAGACACTGGAAAAGAGCCTACTAACCACAGGCCTGAGAAGCAGAATCTTACTAGATTTGAATCTCCTACTGCCCTTCCTGGAACCATAATTCCTAGCTTAGTCAAGCACCTAGGGCTGCTGCTCACTTCCATTTTATGAAATAACATATTTGGGTCATCCTCACGTACTTTAACTAAGTGACTTATGGTCCAAAATGGAACAGTAAGCATAAACTAAGACTGCCCTGTTACATCCTATGCATAAGGGAGAGCGTGGCTGCAGAACACTCCTGATTCAGCGTATTAAAGTGAATCAGGAACGAATGGAGAAAGAGACAGAGAGAATGAACAGAGTAGGCCGCTGTCAGCCTGGAAAGGGGGAGAGAACACAAAGAGCACAAAGTCACTTGATGGTTATGGGAAGGAGAAGGGACTGCTTTCTTTACTGATGCGGTGACGAGAAGGGGTTTACACGGATTGTATCTGAGCCTCAAGTTTTAATGAGGCTAGCCTCTCCACACTACCCAGGCAGTATACAGTATATACATAATATACATGGCATAGTCTATCCACATGCATGTCTTATATGAGTAACAAATACATAATACTTGGCTAGAACTAATGTGTCCTCCAAATTTGCATTTTCCATACCTGATTTAAATGATTTTGAGATCATAATTGGCTACAAGATTGTACACATGTGTTTTTATTTATATATTGTGTGTATATGTATGGGATTACCTATAAATACACATATGAATATATCCAATGCTAACTTAGATTTTCAAAATCATTTAAGTCAACCTGGGGAAAATCTACCAAAATGTACTCAGATATGGTTACCTGTTAAATTTTACATACTGATACATCATATTTTCTTGATATTAAGATGTAATTTAACTTAAGAATCACTTTCAATAGCAGGGGAAAAATACATGTTAAATATCCACATTGATTATAAGTGCTATTCCAGTTTTAGAAATAGAATAACACAACTTGACATTGAAAAAGTATAACCACATGGTTGGGTGCTTTAAAAGAAGATGTGTCCAAAAATAAGAAACTCTCTAAAGAAATTATGTGGAACATTTTAATAAATAGCAAGAGCTAACAGCTTAACTGATATGGTTCAAATTAGGACTTGCACTCTGGGTGCCAGTAGCCTCTAGATATTAAATTGAGCAGCAAATTGTGTGTGTGAGCACACACACATAAAATAAACATATTATGGTTTATTATTTGTCCTAATCCTTGCCGTAGGAATCACAAATTACTCACAGTAGAGTTATTTCTAAGTAAGCCAGGCATGTTGCAGTATATATGACCCATAAGTTTTCATGGCAAATAAGAATATATAAAATCCTAGATATATGTGACCCATAACAAATTACAGAGCATCGATTTCCCAGAAGCTAATGTAAAACTCATGTACCCAATAATAGTTCATTTTCATTCTCTCCTATAACTCAAATCTTTTCATGCTACACAATTACTTTTGCATGTTACCATATTGTAGTCACATGAGCTATTTCATCTGTAAAACAAGGGATTCTTATGTTACATGAGCACCTTTGGAAGCATCCTACTATTTTCTTTATGATCTTTCAATCACCTTAATTATTTTTTAAAAGTGTATAATGTCTTTTATTTACATATCAGATAACCGCACGCTTCAAATTAAAAAACCCACATAAAAATAAAGTTACTCAGGAATTTAATTTGATGAATTGAATTACATTTCTGTCTCCAAGGACTAAGCCTTGAACACCTGGTACATTGAAATGTTTATATTAAAAATAAACAATAATATCAAAAGAAGTGAGTACTATTATTTAAGAGAAAGCAGAAATATTTGCTAAACCAATTTTTATTGAAGAAAAAATAACTATGGGTAGAGGAGTAGGAATGGAATAAAAAGAGGCAAAGAGAGTTCTTATATATGGAGAAAATGATCAAAGAAAGAATAAAATCTATATATTATATTTTACTTAGTCCTGGGCTCTAATCTCAGCAGAAGTCAGAAAGGAATGTAGTCTGAAGTGCTCAAACAGAAATATATTTCATCCACTCACAAAGCTAGAGCAGCATCAGATTTTATCCAAGGCAATTAGACATCATGATTTAGGAATTAGGATAGTAAACAGAGATGAAGGCTGAGAGAAAAATCTACTATAATGTATTCAAATATGGTTACCTGTTATATTCTACTTACTGAAACATCGTATTTTCTTGATATGAAGATGTAATCTAAGAATCACTTTCAAATGCAAATCTGTCTACTTTTTAGGACAGGTTTCTGTCTTACTGAAAAACATGAGAATAATCTCTAGACTTCAACATCTGACATTTCCGACTACCCTTTGTCGGTAACATGTATGCTTCCTTCTGTCACATTGATCACTCTTGCCCTTTTCCTCATATCTTTAGATCTTGCATTTTTTTCACTAAACTTTCAATCAGCAAGGGACTCCTTTCCTGATATATGCCTTCATAGGAGTCATAGATTTTTAGACCTCCATAGGAGTCACAGATTCTTCCTCGGAGTTCTCTAAACCTAAATTTTAGATACATGGACCAAACCGCAGACATTAATATTTCAAAGAATTCTCTAAGAAGTTATTGACACAGACAATAGTAGTGCAATGAAGGCCTGAGGGGGTGTGGGACAGAGGGGGATAATAGGGAGAACAAAGGGGACCGCTGTAATACTTCCAACAAAAAAGATAAAGAAAACGAAGCTATTGAGTAAGAAGAGCCAGGATGACTCTTCTTACATAGACAATTCTCTCCTCTGCTGTGGTTTGCAAGTGGGTTAACTGCACCAGCATCATATGGGAATTTGTAGAAATGCAAATTCCAGGTTCTGCCTCTGACCAACTGGACCAGAAACTCAGGAGACGGAGTTGGGGGGGGGGGGGGGGGAGAGAAAGGGGGAAGAGGGTTGGCTTCCCACACATAACCAAGTAATAGTTTTCTTAGTTTTGATTAAACCCAAGTATTTACCCCGGTGAAGGAAAGCATTTTTCTGACTCTTCCAATGAAGATTTTAGCATTTTCAGAAACACGTAGGTTACTATTTGTCTGGAACAGAGGTCAGCAAACTCGTTAATCAACAGAGCCAAATATCAATAGTACAACCATTGAAATTTCTCTTGAGAGCCAAATTTTTTTTTAACTTAAACTTCTTCTAATGCCACTTCTTCAAAATAGACTCACCCAGACCATGGTATTTTTGTGGAAGAGCCACACTCAAGGGGCCAAAGAGACGCATGTGGCTCGCAAGCCGTGGTTTGCCGACCACTGGTCTGGAGGTTCTAGACAAGAATCAGACAGCTTCATCCCAGACTTCAAAACCATCACACTGTGTTTACAATGCTAAGAACCAGGGACATCAGAGGGTAGCATGAGGACACCCGAGCCACACAGCCATAGAGATGAGTCAGGAGAGCACTTTCACTGTCTTTAAATCTTGCCCCAAGTTGTCTATCTTTTTATAACTGACTTTTCTCGTGTTATTTTTCTTCCCAGATTCCTTTATCAATGAATGTGTCAACCTTTCTGGCCTACGACCAGCCCACAATAAGCTACTGTGGGGTGCACCATGAACTTCTCTCTCATAAGTCCTTTGAAACGACTGCACAGGACGATACGATGGAAACACACCTAGAGACTGAGCTGGACCTGAGCACAATCACAGCAGCAGGCCGCATCAGTGACCACAAACAGCATCTGGCTTAACTGAGCTACATGGCAGCCAAGGCCTGCCACTGAACTGTACCCTCAAGGACAAAATGAGGAAGATATGTTCCGTGTGGACTCTAAAAACAAAACAAAAATCCCCTGTTAAACAAAAGTCCAAGGTTGATTCATGAAATAAAGAAGACATTAATTGTTTCAAGTCTATACTTTGTAATTAGCTAAGTTGTGCAGTATTTTTTTTTTTACTTAAACAGAGTATTTCCCTGGGGAAAAAAAAAAAAGAAACAAACAACAAATCTTTTTCCTCCAAAACTCATCCTACCTATCTGTAAAAACTGTACAGAGCTAATGTATTTTTCATATTGTAAAATTTCAATTATACAAACAACTGGTATGTACAGTACCATAATTTAATTACAGCTTACTTTACAAACTTGACCCATTTCCGTTTCTACACTTTTAAATTAACAGAAATTATCTCCCGTGTTATTCAGAGTTACTCCGTTTTGTAGGGACTGTTTTGTTACTGCTTTTGTGCCCAGAAAACCTTGACTAAAATTCTGTGCTGTGAGAAACATGCACGATTTTTATCATGCTGACTGCGTAGAATTTTATCTACTTGTTCCAGAAATAATACATTAACCAAAAAAAAAGTGTTTAATTGTTGAGACTTGTTAAGAAGTTCTTCAATTACACAGCCAGATTTTTCTTATAAATGAAAAAAGAAAATCAAAGATTTTTTTTTTAACACTTCTTCACAGACTTAACTGTTGCCTTGAATTACAGCCTAGTTTCTAAGCAGTGAACTGTAACGATAAAGAGGGATATTTTAACAACATATCTCTGAATGAATGACTCATTATTTCATTCTTTTGAGGAGCCCACAGTTAAGGATGGAGGGGGCAGAACAGACAAAATATCACTGGAAACAAAGGCCGTAACCATAGCAACAGTCTTGGCTACATTAAAAAAGTTGCAGCTGTCAGTGTGACCAACAAAAACTTGTTATGAGTCTTATTTTCAGGCCCCAGGTGGACAAATGGACAGTAGCGATTTTTCTTCTATTTAACCCGAAGTGGTTTCCTTAAAAATAATCATCAGTCACAGCAAAAAGGTGGCTGGTTTTTAAAACTTCTTGTTTAGAAATGCGAGGCTATATTTTTGGGAACATCTCAAAGAAAATATATGAATTTTAAAAATCTTTGTGTGCCACCTCAGTTCTCTCCTGGGGAAGGAGCCTAAACATCCACAGCTCATTCAACATAGATGGGAGCCTTGGTGGAGATCGTGGCCCTGCAAGTTGGCCACACAGATCCCAATATGTTCATATGACCACCAGAATGAGGTTCACCTCCAGATTATCTGAAAAAGAACCCAGAGTCGTTTGAAACCACCCCAGATCATATGTTGATTATGGAATTGTACGATATAGTTAATTCAAATCAAATTGTGAATACCTTACCTTTTAGATGCTGAAAGAATCAATTTGTTTCTGGTATATTTGCTTGACACAGGTTACTATTTGAAAATATTTCTATTTTATCTGTGGTATTCACATTCTTTTGTGTGTGTTTTTTAAATATAGAACTATAAGTTTCCACCGTTATTGCACTAGGAGAAGTGCTTTTTTATGTTATCATTTTATAATTATGACATAAAAAAATAGGTTTAAAATATGTCAATTTCACAGGGGGTCAAATAATCAAAAACAATGAAGAAAATTTGTGAAACCCAATGTCAAAGATTGATTTTTTTTTATTTCTTCCAAAGAAATCATATCTACAAAAGTCTAGTCTTATCATGGCAAACTTAAGAGCAACTTCCAGAAGAACCAACTTTAAAAAATATAGACAGCTAATTTTTGTTAAAAATATACAAAGTCAGAAAGAAAGAAAAAAATGTTGAAAGAGTCAAACTCTCTTATTAATTTAGGTTAAACAATGTTACAGCACTTGTATCAACTATTTAACATCATATATTTTATAATATATTTTGCATAAATTATTTGCTATTCAAAATTTTCTTGTCATTTTAAGTCAAAATTTAATCTTTAGTTTTTCTAATTTTTAGTTTCCTTGCAGAGTATTCTTAATTTTCTAAATTCAAAAAATTGCTTTGCACAGTTAGCAAATTCATATGGAGTTAATTATAAATATGTTATTTGTGTGCCTAAAATCAAATTTTATTTACAATGTACATCAAAATGTCATTTGTAATTTTCCTCATTAGAAGTTGGCCTTGCAAATATTCAAGCATCATTTAATTTCCAGACATTTTCAAATTGATAAATGACTTTAAAATTTTTTTAGGTTCCAGGGAGCCTCACAGATATATGCCATTTATTTTTTGAAGCAAATTACTTCCTTACAACAGTTTAAATTCATCTAAAGTGAACAACTTGAATAGAGGCAGTCACCTTGTAACCCTAGCTCTGTGCATCTGAGGACTTACTACAGTAAGAATCAACTAAACTGAGAATTTCAAGATTTCTCATATTTGAAATTAAAGTATCTTTAACAAAAAGGAGGAAGAAGAAAAGGAGGAGGAAGCTGCAATAACAGCTGGGTTATTTGTCCGCTTTGTTTTTATACTGCCATCTCCAGGGGGAGGGGTGGTGGAAGTAAGACCTGCTAGAGGAGATTGTGTCTGGAATCATGATCATCTATTAACAATTTACATATTTGTGTCTGAAATCTTTATTTCTAATCTATCTTTTTCACATTCAATAACCTTCCTAACCACCCCGTTCCCATGTCTCCCTTCAGTTTAAACAACTGAAATGCTTTTGTAGTTGGAGTTGAAAAACGCAGAATTTGACCCAACATGGTTGTAGTAACAGCAGTAGCTGTGGCAAACAATCAAGTTATGCAGTGTTTTGAGGTTTTCAAACACAACTTCATATAAAGCTTCTCATTTTATCTTCATAACCACCCTATGAAGACACATTAATTAGTCTCAAAGAAGTTGAGTCTCGCCCAAGACACATGGCTAATAAGTGGTAGAATTGAATCATTCTCAAGATTCAGAGCCTGGTAGTTTCTCCTCTATACTAATATAAGCCTGCTCAGAGCCAGAGATATTAAGCAGAATGAAAAAGAAATTAACATTTTAACATGTTCAGTAATCTCTGATCTAATTCAGTTCCTTTATTTGTATAACACATGGACTAAATGAAATCTTTCTGTGTGCTACTCTAGGCTCTCACACTCCCAGTAAAACTCTTTGTTCAAAAAGTATAGCAAGTCATAGATTTCTTAACATACCATATCATCTGTAAGGACGCAGCTCAGTTACTTACAGGAAGTGGATGTTTATTGGCCCAAAGGTACAGACATAAAATCGAGAAGCACAAGAAAAGAAACCAAAAGACATCTAAATTGAGATTGCCTGGGTAGTTATAAAACAGATCCACAGTGAGAAATTTTACACATGTTCAACTGAACACATATTCAATTCAGAGCTAATTTGAAAGACCTTCATAATTTTTTTGTTTATTTGTTGCAGCAAGAGTACTTCTTGAAACATGAATTCTTATACTTGTTTCAACAGAGAACAATTTTTTCTATCCTCTTTTTAATAAAAAATGAACTGCACTTTATCCAAACTGATGTACAGATGCTAAAAGATGCTAATGGGCAAATAATATTTTACTAATCAGCTCATTTTTTTTATCAAGTCTCTATTCCTACTTTCTCCTGAATGTTTAATCTAGATAATCATAAAACCATACGAATTTTAATATAAATTATATTTTTAAAGGAAAGAAAGTTTGTTCAAATTTAACATTTAAGACAAATGACATAATTCTGATTTTATCAGTCCGGCTTCCCAAACTGCTAAGAAATAGCAAAACCTTTCTGCAAAAAATATTTTCTAAAATAAAACCACCATATATGAGAGTAAGACATGTATTTGTTTTTTGTCTGCTCCTGACTAAAAAGCCAATATCATCTCTCAATAGGAACATTCAAAATAAATATTGAAAGCATAATAATAGGTGCTGGTATGAACTATCTGGAAGCTGGAAAAGAGAAAATCAGATGTGCTGAGTAGATGGCATCACATCAAGGGAGAGGAAATGGACTGGCAGATACTTGGTTTCAGGAAAGATGGAGGTGAGAAATCTCTAGAGTGGTACATCTTATCACTGGTATAGTCTTAACAGTTTACCACTATGGTTTATTATTATTGTTTATTATTATTATATGGTTCATTATTATTGTTATAACAATCTGGTAACACAAAAAAGTGGCAGGTCCTAATGGGCTGGTTTTGCAGTAAGCACCCAAAAGTTGTCTGGCAGCAAGTAAGACCTTCCCTCTCAACGCACCAAAGCTGTTTCTAATGAGAGAAGTACCAAGAGCAGAGGTCCCAGATCAATGCTTTCAAACCCCTGACATACCCACTGAGACAGACTGACAATAGGCAATTGTGCTTTACTTCACAACAACTGTAATAGGGAAAAAAATATTTGAAAAGTAAAAAAAATACCAGAGTGGTGATTGGTTATTTTTAGAGGTCTCTCATGGCTTGCATTATTATTTTATTGTGAGAGGAGACTGCTTATATTTAATATTTTTAAATTTGAGGGTATAATTTGGGCTTTTGAAAATCCAGTTTATTATTTACCTTGCTACTAAAGAGGGTGATCTTAAAGCAAGAGAGTGCCTTGGCCATCTAGGACTCAGAGAACTCGAGCTCTTTCCTCCTTTCTCCCAAACATTTATAAACTTTATTTGATATGATGATATGTGTCTTACTGAAAAACAAAGTGGAAATTTGTTTTGTATAAATCAAATAACATTTAAAATGTATCAAAGAACCTTGTGATAAAGGATTCTTAAAGTAAATCTTTTTTGTTTTCTAATCTAAAGCAACATGCACTAATTTATCTTTTGTAACTTGATTTCCACCTAGCTTGTGTTCTACAAAGAACTGCATGACTTTGAAGGGTCTACGATGCTGTCTTTGCCCAGACTACAGAACATGAAGGACTGGCTCTAGATTTTGAGCTGGTATATAGACACCACAGAGTGATCATTTTCAGTCAGTTTCACTTACCGAAGTTACCTGGATTAGTGAAAAAATAGTATCAATATGAGTGCATAAAGTTGAGCATTTTTTCTTTCTTCTTCTTCTTCTTCTTCTTCTTCTTCTTCTTCTTCTTCTTCTTCTTCTATTTATTGGTTTAAACTTTTACCTCTTATCATATCCTACAAAATCAAAATGACCCCAAGTTTCTTGGGTCCAGACTATATTTACTGAA